ACTGTGTTGAATCCAATTTGATTTGGTAGTATAACGCTGTACAAACATGGGATTAAGACATGACAATATTCTATTTAGAACCTAGCCTTCAATACCCACTCAAGGTACAGTAGTATGAAACCAATGTCCACTGCCATTCAATGTCTCACCAACATTGATTGAATACTAAATAGCTTGCATGTCACATGGTACATCAAGGTATGAAGTCTGTGATCACCAAAATTGTCTTTATAATAAAGGTCTATAGCTTTCAATTCAGGTAACGTGCATGTTTGACCAGATCTTGAAAAGATCAAGCCACCAAAAGCCTGGTTTGGTCAAACAGCAAGCTTTATTGACATATGTCCAGCTTTAATGAACACAAGCATCATTTGTTTTCTCAGGGTTTGTTTTCCTAGAAAGCCCAAAAATGGAGGCAATTATGTAGATACGAATGGAAAATGTGATGCAGCTACCAGGTGCTTGATGTCTATAATACTGTTTTCGTTAAAATGGCCATCAACATCTACTTGCAAGAGGGCCTAGTAAATACCATACAAGGGATGAGACTACAAGCTTCACTTAAGTTCAGAAGCTAACCATCCCTGGTCAATATAAGTTCTCATAAAAAAACCTAAATAAAGACTGTCTAATCTGTTAATTTTCTACTTCATCAGGTCAAGAATTTTGCAAATAATCTTTAAAATAGCAGTGAAAATACTCTGTAAGCTAACAGCATTCATGAACCCATTTTGGCAGCTTTATAGTCACAGAAAATCAATGTTACTCTCAAACATGAAAAAAAAATGGCTCACATTCCTGACATACATATTTGAAATGCATTAAATGATCAAGTTAAGAAATGTAGCATATTATTTTCCTTTGTTGATTATTATAGTTGCGTAAGACACAAAAACATTTTTGTTAGGGCAACTTTTTGCGAAAAGCCGCTATCTACATAAGTTAATATTTACCAGAAAACAGAAATAATTACTTAAATATTTTTTGTTATAAAAATTCAAAAGCACAAGCTAGAAAATAAAATATAAATCAATGCCCTCTATGATCTGGAAGACAGTCTTAAAAGTTTATTTTGTTATGATATACTTTTCGGTAGCATCAATATCTCATTCTCTATTGGCAAAAAAAGAAGAAAAAAAGATAAAAATAGAAAAATTTAAAAATTCTGAGCCCTTAAGACAGGATAATGGGCTGTTGGAGAAATAAAAGAGCAGCGCATCTTGAGAGCTACAAAGTGCCAATATGAATCATATCCCTGACATCTTAAATAACCAGAGGATTTGAAAATGTGAAACGTTCTTTTTTTTTTTCACTAGGGCAAAGCAGAGAACAGGTGGAGGCAAATACGTCACACTGTACAAAAATATCAACAAGTGAAGTATAAAATTCACTTCCATACATCCTCTAGGCCAGGCCATGAAGTATAATTCTTAATGGGTATATTAAGAATATGTACAGCATATGATTTTGTTTCCCTAACAAAGAATATCCATAATGCCATAAAAAAAATGGCCAAGGCAAAAGTTTATGTATTCTGTACTTTAAAGTAGGGATGCACCGATACCAAGTACCGTACTCAGTACAAGTACAGATACTTTTCCAGCTCCAGGACTAGACTAGAGAAAAATTCAAAAGTTAGGAGGCAGCTGTCATTTGTAAGGAGCACACGGAGCTCCTGGGATTTGTACATCTGTTTTAATGTACAATTTTGTTTTTATAAATATAAATAGAGGGATGCACCAATGCCATTTTTGCAAGTACGAGTACTGGTACTTGCCGAGTATTTACAAGTACTGATACATTTTTGTTTATTGTCATGTGACAGTTTTTCTAAAACAATACAGACTAATGATTTCAGGACAGTGGTGGAGCACTAGAGCCAGGTCCCAGCTGCAACCACTGCAACCCTGGTAGTTCTCATGAAAATACCAAGTATCGGCACTGGTATGCGGAAAGTATTGGTGCATCCCTACTTTAAAGTGTATGTCAAGTCAGCTTTTGGACAAAGTGGGAAAGAATTAGGGTTTCTGCAGAGTTTTTGCTGCTCTCTGATGTTCCGTTAGAGAGATGTAACCTAAGTTCCAGTCCTGCTGCCAACAGTATAACCAGAAAGGGAGTGAGGGAAATATACAACAGTGACACAGACAAAAACAAAAATCTGACAGGGGTTCTAGCCTTCTACTACTCTATTTAAGAAAAGTTGTTGTTTTTTGTATTGCTGTTGGAAGGTTCTGGTCACTTCCTGCCTGGTAAAAGCAGGACAGGGAATGAGGAAAATGTATCTAACTCAGATAGCAGTAGACAAGAATTCTAACCTGTAGGGCCCGTTAACACCCCAGCCATTGGATTAATTGTGCGTAACCATGTGATTAACGCACGGCCCTGGTGTGAACAAGCCCTTACCCACTCAATCCAAAACGAAGAAAAACGGTTTTGGACGGACATAAACTTTATTTTTGCTGCTATTTTCAAATTCTAGAATGTGTTTAATTGCAGGAACTGACTTTATAGGAATAGGCATTCATTAAATGAAAATGATTTGGTAGTTTGTTGATTGGAGAATACTAACAGGGTTATTCACAAAAGGGTGGAGAGTTTGGAGAAGGCAGGAGAAGGGAACAATCTAGGACAACATAGCTGAACTGGTAAGTGAGCTGAATTTGAGAATTGTTCCCAATCAGCAAGAGTGTCCTAGATTGTTCACTTCTCCTACCTTCACCAAACACTTCACCCTTTTGTGAATAACCGTGTTTGATTTTTTGGCACACAATTGACTTTGGTAACCAATCCAATACTGAGGATTACCTTATGAAATTTTAACATACCGCTTATGATGACGCAGCTTTGCTATATCTTAAGATAATTTAATAAGAAATAAGACTAGAAAACCAGTGGACTTTAGTGCCACAGGATTTGGCGAGCAAAAGTCACTTCAACGCAAAATTTCAGGGAGGCCATATGCCACACTTTGAAAACAATCTTTGGCATCTGGAGACAATTATGCACACTATACCTTAAGTCTTCTATGTGGTTTCTAACTTACAGATAATGCAATCTAATCTTTACTTTCAAACATCGCTACTGGATTTAACAAAATTCATAAGCTATACAGTAGATAGGGAACAAAACAAATGCACCCACACTACATATGCTTTAACTAATAAAAAAGTAAACTTTTGTTTCGTCCAGGAAGTAGAGTTCCTGTTAAATTGACATTTTACATAGTGGACGTCAGAGCAATTCTATGGTGCTCTAGAGTAATTCAGCTCAGCTGTACCGTCTCCTGTGAGTCACACATCCATACACAACTAATAAATAATAATTAATATAAAATAAGGCTATAAATCTCAGATATCCATTGATTATCTCAAGTATCTTGTTACTCTGCAAAATTTCTCATAGCTAGTATGAGAACAATTAGATATAAAGCCTGACCACAATGAGTCTATCCACAGTCTTAAAAATAAATTAATAAGTAAATAAAAAAGAAATAGACAAAGTTAACTAAGACAGTGTTGTGTCTGAGGTTAAAGAAACCAAGATCTCAGTCACAACAGCACAGTGGTCTTTCGGCTTTGGCTAAAGAGCAAGAGAGAGAGCGCAGTGCCTACTACAAGCATAGAATTGACTTTTGGAACCTGTGAGTGAAACAGGAGCAAATTTGACCATCCCCAACATAATTTTTCAAGCAGTATTGTTCCTTATAGTTTCTTTTTACCAAAATGTGCTTCTTGATTGTTGGCCGACAACCAGGGGAGCTTTAACAATTAAAGTGTATTTATCTCTGCACACAGCAAAACATATTTGTGATTAGATTAACCCAGACAACAAACTCAATAGGAACTAGTCACATGACCAGGTGAAAGGTTGTCTTGATAAATAAGTTATTTTATGATTATTCATTTAGCTCCCACAAAAATATGCTTTGCTGTGTGATGGAAAAGAACACTATTCCCAGATGATCAAAAACACCCAAACGCAATGGACCACAGTCTAATTAGTAAAAGGTCAACTATGCAACCCATTCTTTTACCAAGAGAAAATAAAAGACCCAGTCCCTTAATCGTGACTGCCTACAAGAGATAATATTCCATCTCAATATCCAGCAAATATATACTTTCAGTTCTCAACTAATGAGAAAAGCTGCATTAAGTAACTTCTTCCAATTCTGGAAACCATAAATAAGCTTTAAACATGCTAATGCTTTCAAAAACAGTATAAAGAAAAAAAAAAAAGAGGTTACCCGGAATTTGTAACTTGTCAAAAGACCCTTTTGTCCTGGTAAGTTTGACATCATTTTATGATCATTGGGTGCCTACTTCATTTACAGTTTTAGAAGCATAATATCCCCGACTTTCATACCAGATGACAGTGGTTAGATGACAGTTTCATTTAAATCGAGTAGGGATGGCATCTAATTATTTTGTAATACAATTTGGCAAAAATGTTGTTTGCAAACATTTTCCAACAGTCCACATACAGCGTGTTCACAGTATCAGGGAAGACTCTGCTTATGCCTCTGTGAATTGTTGTCCCAATCTCCCCTCAAATAATTAACTGAAATTTCTACTCAGCCAACATGTTTCACTTTCTGCCTACAAGACTACATTCTGTGTTGACAGTTAAGATGTAGGAAACAGATATCGTGGGGCACAGTGAAAATAGAACACTGCAGTGCTTGTGTGATCTCCTTATTCATTGGTGCCTCCAGCTACTGAGTGTACATCATGGCTCAAGATAAAGCCTTCATTGCCCCCACATAGTAAAATAAGCAGCTGGTGAATCAATCATTTCATGAAAATTCTGTGCATTTTGTTACATATATATATATATATATATATGTATATAATCTATATCGTTTTTAATATTTTTTGTTTTGCTATTCATTTGGATTCAAAGTACATTCAGATCCTCCACTTTAGGGACCTTATACAAAATCTTTATAGGTTTGTAGGGATGAATGCCGAGATGTTGAAACTATGGAACCAAATGACTTTGAATCACCTCTCCAAGAAGAATTTCAGAGCTCGGTCAATGTTCATTCGATGGCCGACTCTGGTGACTCCCAGGTCAATGTAATCCTCCTTGGTCAGTGATGGTAAGTGACTGCCATCAATCTCATTGTCTAGAAAATGTTCTCGGTGCTCACCAAGATTTAAATACTCCAACCAATCAGCCACATCATACTTTGTCCAGAAATGGATGGGCTTAGATGCAAATGGTTTTTCTGTTGGGGGTAGAATGAAATGCGTTGGGGATAGGGACCTACTGCCCGTCTGGAAGCCAGGGAAGGCATCTCCTCCAGCTGTGGGGGAGCCCCTCAGGTCAAAGACCCCCGTGTAAACAGGGGCAGAAGGCAAGATGGGTAAAGAAGAAGGACGTGGTGTAGGGCTTATCTTGTGCTCCGGTGGCAAGGTTGAGGGACTTGGTGCTCTTCTCAGGGTTGGTCGGATGTCAAAATCCACACTCTTGGGATGTTTTGGAGTAGGCTGTGGGGATTTAGGCCAGTTGTGAAACAGACTGCTCACAGGTTTAGAAGAGATTAGAGAAGCAGCAGAGTCATCCACTATCCTATAATAGAGTAAGAGAAAGCAGGTTACAAGATAATAGTAATCTCTCTGTTCGTCAATCAGACAACAATATGCAAATGTGTTGGTCATTTTTCTGCCATTCAGGAGTAATATGAAAGAATCTAAATGACAATGTAAAACAAATCTACTAAACAATACTTCATGAAACATTGTAGAGAAGGGCACTTTGGCTCAAAAGTGAATTTTGGATAAAAGAACTTATATGCGGTATCATACTGTTTAATGATAGTATTAAAGGGTTTCTAAACCCTATGTTTTTTTTTTGCCTACATCTTCTGCTAGCAAGCTTACCACATCTGTGCTGCACACTCCCGTCCGAGAAAACGAAACTGCTCAAGCGGCCGCAAACCATCTTGGGGCGGGCACATGCGCAGTTCTGATTTTTGGACGGGAGAGAAGCAGAGACGCAAGGTAAGTCTATGGACGCGTGCACCCGCATGCAGACACTACTGGATCGGAAGTGCCTGCAAGGACAGAGCAGTCCGCGCTGGATCGCAGAGCCGCCGCACCGCTGGAGGAACAGATGAAAATATCAGGAAAGAAGAAGAAGATCAGATTAAGAGACATCATTTAAGGTAAGTGCTGACATTAACATTGGGGGGAGGGAAACATTTTTTTGCCTTTTAATGTCATTTTAACTGTATACAGTTATCAGAATACATTGATTGTGCGTCCAGGGATAGTGAGTGATTCCTAACCACATGTAATCGTATCACCAACGATTACATGCAATGTGTCAGCATTCTGTCTCTTTCAAATGCAATCACCCGATCATTAACTTGAATGGGTGACAGCTGTCACTTGTAAATGGCAGATTAGGGATTCCTGCTGCAGGAAATTACAAGTTCCTGCCGCAAGAATCACTAATCACACCTAAAATATAGGTGTCAATGGAGCCTTAGTTTCATTTTTCAGCTCTGTAAAGTAAGGGGTAAGCTGTTCTTGAGACAGGTGGTGCAGGCATGGAATTCAGCAGGAATCAGCTGAATTGCAAACAGTGTATGGTCAGCTTTAGAACACATGTTGTCTTTTTATACTTCAAATGATTAAAAAACTTATTTTAAATATACTAAGCTGCAGTAAAACTGCATTGGATTCTAAACTGACTTTCACTGCTCAACTGTCTGTAAATCTTATCAAGTCAGAAAGAAGCCATAGGGGTTGATTTACTAACCTTATAAACACACCACGAACATGTATACACCTCTGTAGTGTGTTCCCTCCCAGCATGATCTATGGGTGGAATCTAAACACCTTTGTAGTGTGTACACACCCAGCAGGTGTGTTGTGCAAAGTCCTGCCCTGAATTGCAAGGTGATGTTGTGTAAATTAGCTCTACATTGTGTTGCTTGCGTTGATGAATGCAGGAATGTAAATGCATGAGCTAACCATTTTTGTCTAAACTGTGAAGCAGCATTATATATGCATCATGTGCATGATTTTTTCCATATATGGCATTAGTGGAAATATGATTATAGAGACTTTTTGGTTGATAAATACGCTTTGCTGTGTAAAAATCACACGCACCTGGTGCGTGCGTGTGTTTAGGTTAGTAAATCACTACCCTAATGTCCATATAGACCGGAGCTCATGTGGGATGTCTTTTGCATAACGTGACATTTAAGAAAACAGCACAAGTATATTATTTTTCGTGAACTCGAGGCAGTTATAAGCTATTTCCATTTAATTACCAGAAGAGCAGAACTCAGATGGAGGGAAGAAGGGGGAAAGTGCAGACATATGGCTAAAATCAGTGTAATTATTCTCCTTTACTGTACAATTAGCAGATTTAAGTTGGGTCAGTCACCAAAAACTGTATTGCTTAAAGAGTCACTGTCACTTTGCATTTTCAGAACAAAGTGACAGTGTATATACGTAGTACACCACCCCGGGCATGTATACTTTACCAGCCATGCTTCCTCACCACCAACCTTGCACTTGCTTAGCCTTCACCAATAGCACAGTCCTTCCTGTATGGGGAAGCATGTGGCCTCCTCTATGTGAGTGCTTGGTCCTAAGTGACCAAACACCATCACGTGGGTGGTGCCATGACATAATTTCCTTGTTTAAGCTCCAACACTGGAAACAGACGAAGATGCAGCAATGGAGGGGGGTGGTGGTAAAGTCTGGCTGGGGAAGTATACATGTCTGAGAGGTAGACAAAGTATAAACACTGTGACTTTGCCCTGAATGGACAAAGTGACAATGTCTCCAACTGCATAGGAGTACAATCATCTCACCTACATGTTTGTGCTGTAAGGCAGGGAACAAAATTAACATTTTGGTCAAATTTGATTGTTCCCAGATATGTATTTAAACAATTTAGCTGTATTTCTACAGGTAAGCTGAAATACATTACCTGAATTAGTAAAATACTAATCATTTTACAGTAGTCAGTGATATTTCATGTAAAAAAAACTTCTCCATCAAAGGACTGTAAATCAATAGTTGTCTGTCAAGTCTCCCGCCGCTGTGCAGGACTGCAGAATCTCTTGACATAAGCCTAGGTGAGTCTATCATTAGAACAGATACACCGATCTGTCACTGTGACTCATCCTCCAACTGATCTCCCTGCACTCTTTTCACAGAGGCTGAGATCCAAAGCTGAAAACTAAAACATTAAATGAGAGAATGCAATATATCCCTAAAAAGAATGTTTTCTTAAAGTAAATCTGTGCTTTGCCGATAAAACACAAAGCAATGGGTTCACAAGCTGCATCAACTTCCTTTCCCTTCACTCCCTCATTATTCCATTTGATCACCAAGAGTTCATAGAGTTAGCCTTACATAATCCAACTGCAACTTGAAACTTACACAGGTCTGAAGACTCTCTCACCACTCCCATGCAACAGTGCTGGGTGCTAGGGAAACCAATCACCGAGCACAATCGCTGTTACATAGGAGAAATTAAACCAAGATCTTCTGTTATCACACACCGCTAGGTTATGTTGCAGAATAAAACATGAATTTACCTTATTGAATTTACTTAAATCCTGCTTTTATGATCCTCTGCAGGTGCATGATACTAAAAGTGCAGGGCTCGGTAAAAAGGGTTCATATGCGTTTAAACATCTGTGACGTACTATGCAAACTGCTGGTTTTACTGCAATTTCCATAAGCATTGCTACAGGTAAGCACTGTCAATCTACTGCACAGGTAAGAGCTTGCATGGCCAGTCACTCATAGGCAGTCTGGAGGACGTGCAATCAGTGGTGGCCACCATGGGAGGCACTTCTCTTACAGTTATCCCAATGTACCGCTGTAGTCTAGAGTGGCTGGACAGATGACATTGCTGCTGGTCTTTTGCAGAGCCTGTGAGAGTCCTGTGTCACCCTTCACATGGGAGTGCTTTACAATCATCCTGACTGGCTAGATCAACAGATGTTTAAATAGATATTACTAGGGGGGGGTTCACATATACTATGTAAGTCATTGACAATAGTGTTAAGGTGGCCATACACTGTGCAAATTATGTACAGTGGGAGCTGCCCCCTTTCTACCAGCATCCCTCGATCAGCTGATGGATGGAGCCAGTTGGAAAACATTTTTACGAACAGAGCCGGCGGCCAATGAGGTACCAGCTCGGTTGAGTTACCAGCTCAGCATCCAGGCATAACGATTGATTCCTAACTACATGTTAATATATCACACACCATTACATGCAGTGTGCTTGCGTTTACATGCAGCGGTTGTCACCTGATTATTAGCTTGAATGGGTGACAGCTGCTGCTTGTAAACGCCACATTAGGGATTTCTGCTGCAGGAAAACACAAGTTCCTGATGCAGGAATCCCTAATCACACCTAAACATACAGGTGTAAATGGGGCCTTATTGTGTGTATATTAGTTTTTGTAGTTCTGGTTGTGGGGGATTGTGCATATTTCTATGTGCGTGTATCTGTGTGTGTAAAGTATTAAATGTGGCAAGTGGCCCCCATGGGGAAAAAAAATGTGTCCAGTGGCCCCAGAGTGAATCGAGTTTGAGACCCCTGATGTAAAGAGACTCATCTGTACATTTTTAGTATTTTATTAAAATAGTTTCCACGCTTGTCAATATTCATGCATTTGGTGGCAGACATATTTGCACATTGCAAATGCAGGCTCTGCTTAGTAGAGCTGTAGAGTGATTGTACCTCAGAGATTCTCTAATCTCACTCCCTACTAGACAGTCTGTTTGTTTAACCAGTAGCAGACACAAAAAATGTTACTTGTAAATAACTTTGCCATACTTTGTATTGAAATTCGAACATACAGTAACACTAGTTGTAAAACAAATGTTAATTTTACTATATAGTTTAGGCAGTGAAAGTTACTGCCAGAATCGATGGGCCTATAGCTAAAATGTAAAAATTGATTTGGTCTGTAGGGATATACAAGTGTGGGAACGGAAGTGGAAAAGAAAAATAGGCTCTATGCTTTCCAACATGCAAGCTAAAATGCAAAGGTGTATATATGTATAGGTTGAGTTGAGACTTTGCAAAGAATACCCAATTTCATGCAAGGAAAAAGAAATAGCTTTTTTGCTGGCACATGGTTGGATGATGGAAGTCAGCAGAGCTTCACCTCATTCATTAATGCTAAGGGAAAATTCCCCTTGCAAAGTTAACAGCCTATTGGTCCTTAGCAAATCAACCCCTATGAGTAAGCCAGCTACTTCTAAACAATGCTTTTCCAGTGTGGCTGATGTCTTATATCAACAGTTGTAAAACATATGAAAGAGGGATCATTTACATTTTTAAAAGTCTTATCAAATAATATTCTAAGGTAAACACTATAATAACTCAAAGTAAAAACATACTATACTTTAACTTTAAAAGGGAACATAAAAAGTCAAATTAGGTTTCTAGTTTAATGGGTCCAGTTTCACTCAGTACAAATGTTATAAATGTTATACATGTGATTCCTTATAATCTTACGTACCGATGTCTTTGTATAGAGGTTGGTCTCTCTGGTGTATATGATACTGCTGATTCTGGTGGCCTTGACCAAGACACTCCACCTATATGCTGTAGCTTGGAACTTAACTCTGTGATCATATTTGTCTTTACTGTAGAGCTTGGAGAGATTTTTTCTTGGGAGTAAGCTTCCCAAGGCAGAGTGGGAGATTTCCGCTGAGAATCCTTGGTTGCCTCTGCAGGAGCACTGAGTGAAGGCCCTTTAGATGGTGTCAGGGTAAAGACATTGTCCGTGCAGGGTGCAACTGAAATAGTGGTACTGGTTGCAGTAATGGGATCTCTGAGAAGTCCAGGTGTTCTGCTTGGGAAAGTCCGGGACCGTATTTTATTTTGGAGAACAGCCTTTTCAGCACCAAATGCCTGCCCATCTAGATAAGTGATATAAGTGTCCAAAAGTTCTGTTCCTTCTGCTGAAAGCCCAGACATACTTGACAATGTAGAAACACTACTAATGGTTTCCAAATGGTGATCACTGCTGCTTCGACTATCAATTTCCTCTATACCAGAATCAGTCACAGTGTCTATGCCGTCTGAAGCTGGTATTTGGATCGATGACACAACAGATGAGAAATTGACATGAGGTTCTTTGAGTTCTGGTGTCTGAGTTAAATTGGCTACTTCACTGTCATAAGAAGTGAGACTAGATGTTGTAGAATCTAGAGCAGGAGTGCTACCAGAATCAGGCGGAGCTGGGGGCACAGGAGGAGGCAATGTGTACGCCCCACCAGATGCACCTAGTGGGGAATCAGGCTTGTCAAAACTATTTGAAAATTCTAAGGGTGGAGGGAGTGGATCTGTAAATAGAAATTCATCATCAACATCAATAGAAGGTGCTGGGGGAGGCAAAACTAATAATGGGAGCCCATTCTCTTTGGAGTTTGTCTCATGCGGCTCCACATTTGTGCTAGGTAAGGGAGCATGATTGACTGCTGTGCAGGCAAATGGCCTTTCATTTTTCATTTCTTTACCTATAGACATCCTATTATTTTCTTGTTCGTCCTTGTGAGTGGAGTTATCCATAAAACGCACATGTAATTCTATCTTTTCCTGGCCTTCTGTTCTCTTTTCCCAAGCTTTACCGTGTTCAACTCCTTGTAGTAACAATAAGGCTGGGGATCGATGACCAGAACTCTCATCTGATTTTCTTTCTCCAGTTGGGGACACCATGGAGGACTTGTATTCCATTTCTTTTCTTTTAACTGGGCCTGAATCCCACAGTCGATGGGGTGAGCTGCTTCGAGATTCTATTGGTGATTTTTGCTCAGAAAACCGTGGAGATGAGGGGCGTGATTTTCTTTCTTCTATTTCATTCCTGGTATGCTGCTGTGACTCTTTTAAAGCTCGCTCTCTTGCTGCCAAAGCAAGGCCTAGAGGGGAACTAGGATCTAAGATTTTCCCAGTCAAAGGATGTATAAGTGGAGTGGATCCTCCAACTGGGTTAACATTGGACATTGTCATTGAACTGGAGCATGACTGTAGCTGTGGTAAATAAGTGGAACACACAGTGCTAAATGCGCTAGTAGTATTAGGTCCATATACCTTGCCAGTTTTGGGCTGGTAGGAATACCCAGTAGAAATGTCCCTATTTACAGGGGCCCCAACATTGGCGGGCACATTCAAGTGCATGTATGGTTCGCTGGAAAACATGCCCTCATCAATAGATTTGGAATGCTTTAATCTTGGAGCAGGGGTAGGCTCTGTTTCTTCATCAGTGGACAGAAAGAGAGCAGACTTTCGACGGGCTTCGTTAAACCACTCACGGTCCCGCCGTGCTGCACCGACAATAGCTGCTCCAAACTGGCTTGTAAAGTCAATGTTATCTCTCAGCTGCAAAGAAGGGATGGGATCTGGCTGGGTTTCAGCTTCCATGCTGCTCCCTTGGCTGCTTCTTCCACTGCTACTGGTTGATGGGGCTTTTATAATGATTGTAGGTATAGGAATGGAACTTTTTTCGTGAGATTTGGTGGCCTGTTGTTGCTGGTGATGTGATTGGTATTGCTGCTGCTGCTGCTGATGTTGTTGCAAGTGCTGCTGTTGTTCATTTTCCACCTTCACCTGCTTTACTAGCTGACCTTTTCGTCGGGCTGCTTTGGGTGGTACATACATTGCAGTGCTGGCTGCTCTAGAAGGTAGATTGAAATAACGCATCTCCTGAGTCTGGGACCTCCAGCTCCTCATGTTGGGGGTCCCCATTCGAATCTGGTCATCTGCTGCTTGTTCAGAATCTTGATGGTAAAGCTGCTGCAGCTTCTCCCGTCGCTGAGACGCTTCCATTATTTGCTGGTCAAATATACTTGTCTCCTGACGCATTGAAGGGGAAAAAACTTTAGACTCTCCACTGTGATTAAAGTTAGATCTCATAACTGGGCTAACCCTGGGTGAAGATGAAGGGGCAGTGTTGTATGGGGGATCTGGAGGAGAAGTAGTTGGAGGAGGAGGAATATCTTCTGAACTAGGAACAGAAAGACTTCGGTTGAACTTTATTGGGGGTGCAGACAAAAATGGCTTTTCATCATCTCCGGCACCTACAAGATATTTGAAAAAGAGAGAATAAGAGATTCACAAATTTTCGTCTATCAAAAGGACATGTTAAAAGGTAATGTAAACTGTACATATTTTACTGTATACTCTATTGTAAATTACTGAGAGCATCTTTTTTTTTTTTGCATTGCTTTCAAGAGGGCAATTATTTCCTTTTCTTTTTGTATGACTAAATATTTATCCCTCATTCCTTAGAGTGCACTATATGTGCATCAGGGAAGCTAAAATCTATGCTATCTAGAGTTTCAACTCCTGTTACAGTCATCCAAGGCAGGCAGGTTTTTCCAGAGTTGCCAGACTAAAACCTACCACTCCTATTAGGCATTAGCAATACAGGACAACTTTCAATGGCAGAGCACAGAGATTGAAAACCACAAATTTTTTGCCAGTGCACATGTCTATTCATTACTAATGCGTTCTTCAGGCAACCAAAGTGATATATATAAATCTGGACAATATCAGATAGCCTTGTTAAAAATAAAATAGAACTACATTTTCTGTGACAAACTATGAAAGAGCGTCATTGTAATAGCAAATATGTGGTCTTCCACATTGTGGAACAGATCATAAACATTTAAAGAGAAAGAAAAAAGAAAAACAACAATCAGAACAATACAAAAATAACCTGGAGAACATACCGACTATCTTTTAATTAAACATCAGGAACAGATTTCAGAGGTTAGATACAGGTGAAACTCGAATAATTAGAATATCGTGCAAAAGTAATTGCAGTAAGTGCTGTAAAAGGGGCCCAAACCAAGTACTGAGTACATATGCATGCTTGTACTTTCCAGAGGTCCGATATTGTTCTATGTACAATCCTTGTTTTATTGATTGCATGTAATAATCTACTTTTTTGGGGTTCTTGGGGTTTTCATGAGCTGTAAGCCATAATCATCACAATTATGACAAATTACGGCTTGAATTATCTTGCTTTGCATGTAATGAGTCTATCTCATATATTAGTTTCACATTTTAAGTTGCATTAGTGAAATAAATGAACTTTGCACGATATTCTAATTATTCGAGTTTCACCTGTATAATCGACAGAGAACCGGATACATTGTGCATGGAATTTAAATAAATCATCAAGGATGAATTGGAGAAAAAAGTGGACAAACTAAAAAGGACTATGAAAAGTGAATGACAGAAGATACAGTAACATTTGCAAAAAAAAAAGAAGAAAATATCAAATCAGAAACCTAATAGAAACCTCTTTGAGCAACTAAATTGTAATTTCAGAGAGCTTCCAGGAAGGATAAGGACCAATATTGCAACATAATTTGTAAAGACATTGAAAATTAAATGTTAAAGAACAAGGATTGCTTTCCAGAAGATATCAAGAAACCATCACTGATAGAACAGAGATAAAGCAAATATGTAAAGATTAAACAGAACCCCCATACAGAAAACACATCAATAACAAGCAAAGACTAGCCAGACAATAGAACCTTTAGTGCTGTAGTTCAAACTGGCACTGAGAGCACTTCCATAACGGAAGTCCACTTGAACTCTGAATACTGCATTAAAATGACTTCAAGCAACTAAAGAAGAATCAATCAGTGATGACCAACTTATGCCACTTAGTTTAAAAACCAACACAATGGGTGACATACCTAAAGAGATCAGGTTATTCCCAATTTAGAGAACAGGAGACCTAAAGACCAAGCAAAGTATCCAATAATTTGCCTGATGCCGCACATCAGAGAGAGTATGCTGCACAGAATACAAACTTAAATACAAATTGAGTTACCAGATGTTTAATCTGGGTTTAGTATAGGCAGCGCAACTAGAGACAATATTGCAAATGCATGCTGGATAAGTGAAAAAGCCAAGAAGTAGAAGGAGGAATGCAACATGGACTTCAATAAAAGCAGGCCTGGAGAAAGATGGTAGGGGTTTCAAGATTGGTGGAAGTAATAACAATCCTCAATATGTTGCTGACACTACACATGGGACTTGCGCTAAATGTGAAGAAAAATACCTGTAAAACCAGTTTCTTGGAGTAGATTGTGACGGACTGAACCGTCACCAGGGCTGCTGGAGGAGCCTGAGGGCTAGCCTCCTTCCTACGGACTACGGGCCTAGGGCTGCAAAGATTTATTACACCGGAGAACTTTGTGTGCTGTGTGTTCCCAGTTTAATATTTCATCTAGAGAGAGAACTTGTCACTATTTGCCTTGATGGGAACCATTCTTCTAAAGGCAGCAGGCTGGCTGGAGTGACCATTGTTTGCAATGATGGGATTAAGTTCCTCTCTAATTAAGGACATTCATCCCAAAGAATGTCTGTGCTTAAAAGACTTCTAATGCGGCACCCGGCTGTCTGGGGGAGGGGACACACTAAACTCTAATCTGATCCTGTCAGGTATAAACTCTGTGTGCTTCCTTCAATAAAGCAGATCTTGTTTTCCACCTCAACATTGGTGTCGTCTAATGATTGAGTGGTTTAGCGTTCTGTCCTAATATATTGGTTCTGTCCAATAATTAGGCAGGTTTGGGCTGAGGACACTGGAATTCGGGTTCCAGCGGAGAGGAAGCTGATTTCTGATGGAGGTACCCAGTCGGGGTACCAGGGGGTCCGTCACATACATCACAGGACACAGGGAGTTAATTCATAGACCACTGGAGTTATCCAGCTACCTTCAGGTCATTGGACACTGGCTAATCAAACAAAGCTGCAGGACAGCCTTGTATAACCCCTCCCACTCCCAGCCTACCTTAGCTTTGTAACAAGCAGTACAGGGTGGAATTACATAATACAAAGGGAAGCATCCTGTGTGTTGTGATGTACTACAAGAA